TCCGTCGAGGAGCCAACAGAGTCCGCAAGCAGATGTGGTGGAAGGATATGAAGATGCGAATGTGTCTGATTATCGGTATTATCATTCTACTGGTCATCATCATTGTCCCCTCTGGTATGTCTTGGATCTGTCAAAGATGTGTTGTTGAAGATGTTGCTAATCCTCTCCAGTTGTGGCTACTCGTTAATAGCTCAATCATCTGTTTGGGTACCACTTGGTCCTTACGATACACACGCTGGGACATGACGACATCGAATATCGCAAGCTACGACCATGGGAAATGGAACTTTTGGGCAACCGGCCATTATTGCAATGGAATATGATTTGAGCACGATGGAGTTTGTTCACGTTGGGTCCCGGTCAATGTTATGCTGGCAGTTTTCGTTCCTGGGGTGACTTACTGATGACGAGGTCTCAGTATGGCTTCTGGAACTTAAGACCGGGCTGGATGTTTGAGATTAGGCGTTCCCCGATTAATTGAGATGTATACCTTTCCGCGGATCTTTGTTATCAAACTCGGCTCCTCGTGTTGTGTCATGGGTCGCAACGAAGCGGCAGTCTGCTTGCTAGACCGAAGATAGGAAAGGCGAGTTACGGTTCATGATTTCTGAGGGTAGAGGATCGGGTCAGCTCTCTAATTCCTATAGTATCCCTTCTTGTTAGTCTACTTCTTTAATAGGAGATTCCTATCGCACGGCGAAAGCCCCAGTTTCATGGAAACCCATGGCGATTGTGACAAAACTTTTCCAAGACGTGGATAGCCGGTATAGTACTTGGATGAACTAGACTAGACAATGCCTCGAACAATAGTTGCTCCGAAAGTGGAACCTATCTGCACAAAAGGCATCTTGTCCGTTGAGGATGAACGAAAGAGACCCCTTACAGGCTCAAGATTCGACGTACCAGAACCATGGGTCCTCTGTTGGCGTCATTTGGTAGTGGGCTTCTTCTGTAAGTGCAAGGGTATTGTGGGTAGGAGTAGATTGATAACGCCGACCGATTGATAATGTCTCATCACCATCTGAGCTTTTTGAGGAGGGGGGGGGGCGATCAGGGAATGTAGCCGTGTTACTGGACCTCGGTGAATTTGCCTTGGTAGAAAGATCTGCAGCGGATGGATGGGACTTTTTTTTATTTTTACCATTGTCGTTTCACTGTACAGTAGATATTTCGATGTTAACATGAACAGATGATGTCAATTCCAAGGCAAAGAATGATTGCTCGTCCATACTTAAAGGCCATTGATGAGACGGCTGGAGTATGATATTTTTCATGATGGAGCTTGATGGGAAAAATTCTGTCATGATGCAATGGAGACCAGCAAGGCGACCCCGGTCAGCTAAGGTTCTGCAAGCGGTGTCGGATCAATGGTGGACGGTTAGAGACGATGACTTTAAGGAATATGCGTGTTGAGCTTTTGAGAGATTGCAAGTTACAATAACAAGACTATCAAAGATCAGTCTCGACTTCTAACACGGTTATACGAACGTAGGTAGAAGAATTATGCATCATGCAGTTGGTTACACATGAAGAAATCTTGATGACCCTGCCTGTTGCCCCTCCATTGGAGGTGACCCCAGGTTCCTAGGTACCTTAAGCTCCCTACACCTTTTTAGTCTCCACTGCCTCACCCGGGCCTTATCTTGCCGTGTGGAGCCTCTTGATCTTCTTTCTCAAAAAGAGTCAACAGTCCTCATCCCCCCCCTCTACCCATTGCACGATCTCCCTGCCATCTTCGAGTTAATAGGCTTAAGCAAGATGTTTTCCGCCACTTCTGGAGCCTTCCGGGCTGGTGCCCGACGTGTCGCTCCCCGCGTCGCTCGCTCCAATGTCAAGACTGCTGCTCCGACTGCGCTCCGATCCCTCAACGCCAACCGATCCCTCTCTACAACCAAGGCCCTCGCTTCTTTGTCTGGCCGCGATAGGACCCGGGAGATTGTTGCGCAGACCATAAACAGCATTGGCAGCAGGCGGGAGGGTGAACAGTACCTGAAGCTCTTCACCTCGGTTGAGTCCCAGAAGTTTGCCGTTATCAAGGTTGGCGGTGCCATTCTTACTGAATACTTGGACGAGCTGTGCCGAAGCTTGGCATTCCTGAGTGGTATTGACCTCTATCCTGTGATAGTCCATGGAGCTGGTCCTCAACTGAATTCTTTGCTCGAGTTCGTGACTGCTGTCAATTTGGCCAACATTATACTGACACGGAATTCAGGTCGGCTGGGGTTGAGCCCCAGTTCGAAGAAGGTATCCGAGTCACTGACGCCAAGACCTTGGGTATTGCTCGCAAGCTTTTCCTTGAAGAGAACCTGAAGCTTATTAACCGACTGGATGAACTTGGTGTTGCGACTCGATCAATCAGCGGTGCTTTTACAGCCGACTATCTTGATAAGGAGAAGTGGCAGTATGTTGGTAAGATCACCAAGGTCAACAAAGATGCTATCGAGAAGTCCATTGAGGCTGGCTATATCCCTATCCTCACTTCAATGGCTGAATCTGAAGACGGCCATCTCCTTAACGTGAACGCCGATGTCGCTGCTGCTGAGCTTGCCCGTGCCCTGGAGCCCCTGAAGGTTGTTTATCTGTCAGAAAAGGGCGGACTGTATGATGGCGATGGCGAGAAGATTTCCGTTATCAACTTAGATGCCGAGTACGACCATATAATGTCTCAGCCCTGGGCGAGGTACGGAACGCGACTGAAAATTCGCGAGACGAAAAACTGTTCGTGTCCCGGTTGGCTCATGGTGGTTGTCACATCTGATTAACTTATAGCTGACCATCCCTAGTACTTGACACACTCCCCCGTAGCTCATCCGTTGCTATTATACACCCCAGCGATTTGCAAAAGGAATTGTTCACCGACTCTGGTGCCGGTACCCTCATTCGTCGAGGAGACAAGATCCAGCGGGTTTCCTCTGTCAATGAAATTGGAGACATCTCCAAGTTCAAGGAGACTCTGGCTCGCGACCGCCAAGGACTTGATGCTGAGGCCACTGTCGAACGCTTTGTCGATCATCTTAAGGAGAAGAACTTCAATGCCTACTACGACGATGGAATGCAGTGTCTAGCTGTCGTCCTGCCAGCCAACGAGGAGCGACCGATTGCTACACTGGCTACTTTGAATATCACCAAGGCTGGATGGCTCAGCAACGTCGCTGAGAACGTCTTTGCTGCCGTCAAGAAAGATCACCCTAGCTTGGTCTGGACTGTCAGCGAGGAAGATGAGAACCTGACTTGGTTCTTCGAGAAGGCTGACGGAACATTCAATAAGAACGGCAATGTTCTTTTCTACTATGGATGCGACCTCCGATCTGAAGCTCTGATCCCTATCTACGAGGAGTTCAAGGCTCACGGCCGTACTATGTTCGGCGACAACCTGGAATCTCGACTTCGAGACGCGGCCAAGACCACCAGCGAGACCTTAAATGCCTCTCAGAGCCGAACTTGATCAGGCTGCTCAAGCCGCCTAGCTGCGGTTTTTGAATATCTCGCGCTCAAAATTCCCAATATAATATAAAACAGTTCAACATCTTACCTTCAGACCTTATTGACGTAGGCCTTCTTCCTTGTCGTGTAACTTACAGCAGAAGTGAGGGATGAACGAATGATGTTCACTTTGAGGCAGAAGGGACGTAAAAAAAGGACACAGCATCACACAAAACCAGACTGGCCCACTCCCTATATCAGAAGTCTTTATGGAGACAACTACAGTAAGTACTTACATTTGAGTGTGGTTTGAAGAATCCGAGAACTGTCTGGACTGTTGCACATGAGATAGCTGCTACAAATTAACAGTTACAATCACAGTCTGTGTTCGTCATCGCCAGATACTCCCAACTGCCACATCAGATACCAACCCGAAGTAGGAGACGTTATGGGCCGTTTGCGTAACATGAAGTAAAGTATCGCATCTAACAGTGGCCTCTAAGCATGGCAATGACAAAGGGAATGGCCATTAAGAATGGTACGAGGTCAGTTGGGCGATAGAAGGGCCTGCTCTGATTCTATCGTCACTCCGCCAGTCGCCAGTCCAAGTAAAACCTCACCAAAAAGGAGGGTTTGAGCCTCTCAAGATGGTCCTCCAAAGGCATCTATGAGGCTGTATTCTATTAGAGTGAAGACTTCTGAAGAGGAGGGTGAAGAAGCCCAGATACAGAAGAGATCAGACTGGAGCTTGGAAAAGCTTGTCTGGCGTCAGTATTTGGAGCGAAGGGAACTGCTGAGGGAGGCGTATCAATTAGTGAGTGCCTTGTGTGACGTGGGATACACGTTGTGGCTTGATTCTTTGGGTTCTCAAGTTATCAAGGTCGCAGATTATGAGTCGACTTGCAAAGAGCGAGTACACGTTGAGGCTTGCTGAGGCAGCAGCAGTATCTGTATGTTTGAAACCCGTCAAATGATAGTATCGATAACAGTTTGATCAACATAGGACTTTCACTCGTAGTTTACTACTGATTCCAACCTCAAGAATCATCTGGCACTTCACTCTTTCATCCTATCGAGCTGGTCACCTAAGGATGAAACCAACACTAAGACGTTGTGCCGCAAAGCTGTTCCTGTAGTCGCGAAATAATGCGTAGCAGAATTCAACCACGGGATTACACAAGGGTTATAGGAATCATCATTCATCACAAGGCCGGCTGGGCTGTGAGGTATCTGCTGGGTTGGCAACTGGCGGCAGCTGGCTGAGTCTGAGTCTCGCGACAGCCCCTCAACCAGCTCTCATTGTTAATTCAAGATGAATAGATGAATAGATTTCACAATGGCATTTTGATTTCTATTGTTGCAAGCTCATCGACATCAACAACTGATCACTGTGCATAAATATCTGGCCTCACTATCCAAGATACTCACCGCAACGTGCATCCTCGTGTATCTTGTGCCAACTTTCTCTCACTTGAACTCTCAAGTCATTTCGTCACAGAGAGTTCTCTCTCAGCCATAAGTTTCTTTCAACCCTCTTCCGTTGCCAATACCGGCCTCAAGTCGCCGAGGTACGCATCATGCCTACAGCGACTTCCGCACCAGAGGAACCCAAGGCGCCCGAGTCTCGACCTATGAGCCGTCTCGAAATAGGCCTTATTGTGGGAGTCAGCGCTCTCTTCATCACCTTGATCTTTTTCATCTTCCTCATCCGAGCCCTTGACCAACGCCGCCGCAAAAAGGTGCTGAGGAGAATGGCCGAGGATGCCAGAAACCGTACTCCCGAAGAGGAGATGTTGCGCCGCCGGCTGGCATGGCTTCAAGTTGAACGTGAGTCAAAGTACTAATGACATGGCATAAAGAGAAGGCTGCTAAAATGAACATGTTGACAGGCATCATGCAGAGCCTGCGCTGCGTATGGGTGGATAAAGACAACAACCCAACCGATCCACCCCCCGAAGGCGTTGAATTTCACCGGCGCAAGGGTCGTAGCCCGTACCAGATGCCGCGCATGCCACAGTCCAAGGAAGCGAACTAGATTCAAACCTGTATCATCCATCCATCCACGGCAAAATGCGAACGTGGCAAAGCAGTCGAGATGTGACAAGACATGGATATGGGATGCGAAACGGGCGTAGACTATTGCAACCGACGTTGTATCGAACGTGCACATATAAGAATGTTGCTCTCGAATCAAGAAGGATTGGGTTGCTTGCAGTGCAGTGCAGGGTTATATCAAGGCAAGGTCGCGGCTATGTACGTTGAACTCCAAGCTATATACGGATACTCACTTGCAGGGAGGCAATGACATGGAACGGGTAGACTACGAGACTACTCGGTACCTTAGCTACAACCCAGGGCCAGGTTCCACAGTGACGATCGACAATGCATACCTTAGTATCCGTAGGTAGTCATCCATATTTCGAGATATTATCAATGGACGCCTTTGCATAATATGCCACTCTGTTATTGTTTTATTCCCGAAGGAAAGAGGAAGGTGTATAAGCGTTTGCTAAAAACACCTAATCACCCGCTGAAAGAAACAGACATGCTTGATTTTGTAGTAAACATGTACGTACCTTGGGAGAGTAAGGTAGCAGATTGCCAAAGTCGAACATGCCAAACCCCAAATCGATAGCTCCATGGCGCGTCATCTGCAGTCACGTGATCACCTGTCAAGAAAGCTCCAGCAGCCAATCCACAAGCCTTCCTACCGCCACATTCCGCGTTTCAAGCCAATTTCTTCAACTTCAACACGCGATATCGAACATAATTTCAAGCTGAGGCCGACTTTGCCCCAATGGCTTCGCGATCGCCATCTCGCGGCCGTTACAGGTCGCGCACGCGCTCACCTGCTGCACGCTCTGAACGTTCTCGTTCACCCCAGCGCCGCCATCATCACGACTCGCGGTCACCTGCCCGCTCCACATCACCTCAGCGTCGTAATGGCCGTTACAGATCTCGCAGCCGCACTCGGAGCCGTAGCAACAGTCGGAGTCGAAGCCGCAGTCGTAGCTGGAGCCGCGGGGCCCGCGATCGCAACGACAGAGATAGGAGTGCTTCCCCAGCCGCTAAGAGCACAAAGGTATGTCTTAAACAAACAGCCATGGCCAGTTTACGGGAACTGACTTAGTGTGCTTAGATTGTAGTAGAGCGACTCTCCAAAAACATTAACGAGCAACATCTTTATGAGATCTTTGGGCAGTTTGGGCGCATCAAGGATCTTGATCTTCCCATAAACAGGACCTGTAAGATTACCGCCTCCCATTTAATCGCATCAGCTAATAGCAATCAAAGTTGGAACAAACCGTGGCACGGCATACATACTTTACGACTACGAGGACGATGCCGAGGCCGCGATAGCCCACATGCATGAAGCTCAGGTGGATGGATCCGCGATCAATGTGTCCATAGTGCTTCCACGTCGCAAGCTTTCTCCTGCGCCTCCAACAGCTCGGCGCGGAGCCAACATTGATCCCAGAGTGCCGTTTGCGGGAGCACGTGGGGGTCCCCCTGGTGCAGGCATCGGAGGAAATAACGGCATGGGTGGTGGTGGTGGAGGTCGCCGTCGAGCATCTCCAGGGAGTCGGTACGGACCCAGGTCTGATGTGTATCGTCCAGGATCGCGTTCGCCTTCCAGATCGTCGGCTGGCCCCCCTCCTTCCTGTGGTGGTGGTGGAAGCCGATACCGCAGTCGATCCAACAACTCCTCTTCATCTAGATCACGCTCGAGATCTCCAGGTCCCCGGCGAAAAGCAGTCGGCCGCCACGATGATCACGAGACAAGACGACGCGGGAGCGTTGATAGTCGCGAAGGTCGAAGTCGATCTCGAGGACGCGGTCCTAAATGATTCAAAAGCTCTTCAGGTGTAATTAATTTGCTTCTAGTGGCGTTACGAGAGGATAGGGAAAAAGGAACAGAATAAACAACGGCCCCAGGTTCTAATTAGCTCTCGGAAACAAGTTGGTCACTTGTATCTGTCTCCCGTTTGGCAAACTGACATCTGACCAGATAAAGATGGCCGTCTTACCATGTTCGGCCACAAGGGCTCTCAAGAATCCCGCCTATCATCTTTTTTAATCAGACCGGAGGCCCCCTCCGTTCTATTACGGCCAATCACTCGCCCATTATCCGACTCATCTATCAATGTCCCAGTCCAATTCATGTACGTGATCTCGTTTTGGTTTCGGTGTTTCAGGACATTTGCCGCGGACGCGGTCAGCAGGGATTGCCCCCAATGCTTTTCCATGGATAGGTATGCACAAAGCCACGGATTTCGGAGCCGGGGAGTTGAGGATAGACTTTGAGTGCTACTGCTCCAGCCACTAGTTTCGAACGTATATCGACCATTCAGGGACCAGTCACTGGTCACTAGATCCCATCTACCATTTGTCACGATTCGCACCTCTCCCCGCTCAGCTAAGGGGACCTGGTGTGGGGATATGAGAGAACCCATGCTTAGTAGACTGAGTCTTGGCGCAACTCGACCCTTCGCGATAGTTTGATCCAACCAACACTCCGTTATGCACCGAAGGACGGCAACAGTGGGATGATTCAAGTAGCACCGCCCATATAAGCAACATGGTCTATCGAGCCAAGACAGCCTGATACCAGGCCGGGGTCTTGGTCTTGGCCTCAGCGTCCTTCACCCACAACGGTGGCTTCTCCTATAGGGCTGAGGAGAAGCCGATCCCACGATGCCGCTCTTGCAAGCAAGATCCATGAATCGTGGGCGACCAGGGTAGGGTATTGTTTGGTCTTGAGCTTGGCCCGGGTCACCGTTTCAAGAGGGGCCGCTGTCAGACTGCACCACTCGCCATTCGACAGTCTGTCATGCCCTCTTGTGCGGCCAAGTCGTGGCTCACAGCTGTCAAAGCGAGCTCGGTTTAAACATGCACCGAACACATAGAGCGCAGATGTTTGACACATAGCAGATCTGACACCACCAAGGGTGTCTTGACTGGAATGATGCCCACACATTCTCTCACCCTGCATATCAGTACAGTACTGGATAAGCTGTGCGTTGCAGCGGTGACATCGCATCGAGGGTACAGTACACACCTCCTTGCGGGTTTTGTGACGAGATCCCGTTATGCACTGGCCTGGATCGAGGCCGTGGCAGCTTTAAGCACAGCCGCACATCGCATCACTCTCGGCGGCTATACTAGCATTGTGTATTCACCGTCAAGGGCATATCATACCCAGCATGTGATCCACTTGCATGGCGCCAATTACGAGATCCCGGGGCAGGGTACGGGTAAAGGCGCTGCCGGCTAGTCAAGCCAGGAGGTTTTTCCCTAATCAGCTGGAAGCCTATAAAGGCAAGATTCTGAGGCCCGATGGACAACGCCTCGGCTTGTACTGGGGTGTTGAACCCCCTTTCTCACATTACTGCTTCAGGAGCCTTGCATATCCAGCATGGTACGACTAAGAAGGTGGTGTGTGGCGCATAGTGCTGTTTCGAGGACCATGGCAAAAGCCTGGAGAGCCTGGTAGACGGACAGCTGTCATAGGTCTGTGTTCGAGTTTGGCAGCTGTCTCTGACAAGGGTGCCGTGCGCGTTGCAGGGTTCAAGTCGGTTGTGCTACCGAGCACTTATGGTTCGGCTGCGTTTTCTGTCTGATCACTCAGGTAATCTTTGCCTTTGAGGTCCCCTCGGCAGCCAAATTGGGACCCCACCGATCTCTTTAGGGTGCTAGGCGTTCCTTTTGAGTTGACGCTATCATACATTGGAAGCCAGTTTCAGCTTGTATGAACCACGGCAGGTATGTTGAGCCCAGAGCCCAAGAACAGCTTTACGCACATCATCAATGCCCCGGCATGCCGCCTTGGGTCCCTTTGTTATCCCTATGGATGGGGATTTTCCAACGGGTGCCTACTGCCTCGACCCTGCTATGAAGAGCATTCTCTAGAAATATGAATAAATGGCTGTTGCTATGGATTCTGGTTGAGGCTCAAATCGCCGATGAGAATATCGGTGACTGTGCCATGGTCATAACGGTACTTATTTAGCGCATATTGAAATATCTACTTGCCTTCCTTACTCGGTCCCCGGGCCCTGGACTGGCTGGACTCTGCTCATCTGGGCAACATGTTCGCCGTGCATATTCAGTCCCCCTCACTGGTTTGACCACCTACCTGATGGGCTCGGTGCGGACGATGTGTTGCTGTGAGGCACGATGCTGGATACGACGACGATGATCATTTGAGAAACAGCGAGAAAGCCACCGGGTTTTAAGGCCTGATCCTGGGGCGCGGGTGCGGGTCTAGATGCCGTCGACTACACCTTGCGCAGCTGATCGTGTAGGCCAACGTGGATATCTATCGCGAACCACCTTACACATTGATCGGACGAGCATCCTACCCACCTGGCCAAGATCGATGATGTGCCATGTCGTCCAAGGGCGAAACGTGAGCCTCATTAAGAGGATCGGTGTCGCACCGACTATCTGGAGATACTAGGGGCGGCAGTAATGTCGAAGAATAGTATAACATAAACCACGAGCCTAAACTAAGACTATCTATCGGATACCATTTACCACTTCGACTAGTGTCTCTGGAGGACTAGGACCCAGAGTGTCCTCTGTTTCTTTATTTCTTGTCTTGATGCCTCTGGAGGTGCAGCCTTTTGAATTCTCTCACATGTCCCTGATGCCTCGGGCTCATCCTCACCTCTATCTTCGCCCTCACTTCCACCCTTTGCGTGTGGCTCACTGCCCGATGTCTCTCGAATCGCAAGATCCAGACCCTCCGCCAACACCTCCAGGAGGGCCGCGTGTCCCTCCTCCTCAGCCAGACCCGCCGCCGTCTCCTCCTCATACATGGTAACTGCTCTGACCTTTGGGGCGTTTCTGCTAGCAAACTTTGTTATCTTGTGCCAGATTTTCTTTGTCGATCAAGCCTCTTTCCGCTCTCTTGGAGTGACAAGGGTTCTGCTTTTCTCGAAGCCAAGATCGACCTCCAAGAAGAAGAGACCCCTGTTCCGCCACCTGGGGTTCGTGTCTTGGGGATCGACCTTGTGAAGGACAGTTACAAGAGAGTACAATAGGCAGGAGAGGAGTTTACGCCAAGCATCATGTCACTTATCATACAGCACCATGTCCAAAGTCTCATGCTTCTTCGCATCGCATCTCGCGGGGCGATCATACCAGGATTCAACATATGGCCCGAAACAAGACTTTGGACCGAACAGGCGGGAAGTACGGGAGTGATGGATAAGCCACAGGCTGGCAGCGTTTATGGTGTGGGTTGCGAGATGTGCATCATTTCATAGGGGTGTGAGAGTGTGAGTGGAAGTTTTGCCTGAGACGGACAGGCCAGTCCGTTACGGTATGGTACGGTATGGTACGGTACGGTGCGGTACAGCACAGGACGGTCCGGTCCGGTGCATTATGGGGCGTGAGGTATAGGACACGGACGCAGGCCCTGAAGGACTCTGCCAGAAGTGATAGGGAGAGCTGACTGGGGTACTGGTTTGTGGGGGATGCGTTGACAGACGGATGAGTCTGGCAGAGCAGCAATCCGATGATGCGGCTTGGCGCATGAGCGACACACACAGAGAGGCCGACATGTCACTCGCTTGATTTTGAGGCCTGTAGCATATTGTACCGATTATGAATCTTCGAAGAGTCGACTCAGTGAGCGAGCGAGCGTGCGTGCTACTCTTTCGGGTGGGGGGTGACAGGTTCTGGTTCTGAGCCTGATTCCGATTCCGATTCCGTATCCATTCATAGTGGGCAAAATTACTGATTCATGATCCTTTCCACCTCCTGACTCTCTTTGGTTGAAACGGTTTCCATCGTCGCCGAACTAAGCTTGTTAGTCGAGTAAGGCGAGGCAGGGCAAGGTATCTTAGTCAATTAGTTTAGTCGCTGAGCGGTATATTACAACGGGAGACCTATAGCGGGTCTATCGCGTTTATTTATCACGTCTTGATTTGACTTGACTTTATTACATGCATGGCCTGTCGTCCGTGTATTCGGCGTATCTCAAATATTGCCTCCTGTGACTGTGGATTTATTCCCCGTGCTTGAGCCGTCCATTGGATCCATGTTTGTGATAACGAATGACTCAGTTGCCAAGGAATGGATACTCGTTACGAAACATTTACGCTCCTCTTCTGATCTACGGATTTCCTCTTCCTGTATGTATCTCCGGGACAGGTAATTGAGTAACTCGCCGTCGCCTCAGTAATAAGCACCTAAAGAACATGATACAGCCAAGGCTTTACCTACTAACTAACCTTACCTTACCTTACTTACACCTGTGCTAGCGCAGCCTGCTTCACTTACAGGCAAAGATACATGCGATAACCTTGTCAATCAAACGCACCGCCCGTTCTATTCCCCCTAGTTACAGATTCTCGGGCTTTACCTATTAAGGTTATCGGCCGAGACACCGACAGGCTTTTCCATTTCTAAATTCTGCTGTACCCCACGAACCAGGTGAGCAATTCTGGCCGGGTTGCTTTTGCCAGGGGCTTGAGATGCTTACCCTAGACCCCCCCACAGCGGCATCTTCCGTGCGCTATGACAATTTCGCTATACCGTTTGTACCAAAAAACTTGTATTTTGTATACTGAATATGGCAAGTCGTGGTGCCATTTACTTGGTTTCTAACTCTTACAGTATGTAACTACAGTAGTACTGACCGGATGACAAGGATTATCTTTGTGGCAATCATAATCGCATGCATAACACCCGTGGGCTTGAACGGATCTAGATCTCTCCGTGTATCGACAGGAGACTAAGGGGAAACCTTCACTAATCACTTAACACGCCTAGAGGATAACGATATCCGTTCAAGTTAAAAAACCCTCATCCGAACGACAGTACAAGACTAATGATCCATGTCGTCGGAAGACTTGACTGACGCGGAGTTAATCAGAAGTCCGGACGACAAGTACCATGACTTGTTTCGCCAAGAAGTTCGGTCCACGTTGATCAAACACTGTCTGACCAAGAGCAAGATTTGTGGAATCCCAGGGAACACACTGGCCAAAAGGAGGATGTTTTCTTCCGTTAACGACTGTTGGGGTAATTATTGATCCAACGATAGAGAGATCTATACTACTGCAAAGCCAACCGATCCAAAACACCAAAGCTCAAAAAGGCGAACACAGAACAAGGAGGCCACAAGAACACCAGCTCCTACTACAAGAGCGCCATCCCCGCACCTATACCCACGATACCCAATGCAGCACGGGCAACATGTGCTGTGGCCCGAGGAGCAGCCACTCCCCTGCTTGACCTTGTTGTGAACCACGGCGTTGCCATGGCGTTGTTCTCGGCATCATCTGCCGGTGTAGGCGTTGGTGTGTTTGTCACTGGACAACTCGCGGTACAAGGGATATCCGAGTCGAAGACATCGTCAACGCCAGCAGACTTGAACACAGGATTTTGAAGCCAGAGACTAGGGTTAGGAGCCGCGTTGGCCTCCTTTGGGTTATTGACATTGGAGATGATGTGGAGGATACCATTAGAAATGAGAAGGTCAGTCGTGATGATCTTGGCCGAGTTGACGAACTTCTCATTACCAATTTGGCGGACGTGGACCTCCTCTCCCGTCAATGTGGTCAGAGATGTGGCATTGTCAAGGTCAGTCGAGACCAGGACCTTGCCCGGTACAATGTGGTATCCCATGACACTCGCCAGCTCCTTGGTCGACATGCCGCTGAGTGCACTGCCAACCATCTCCATAGCCTGATCTCTTGGAGCAAAGACAGTGATGTCCTGGCGACCAGCAAGATCAGGCATGAGGCCAGCTCTGAAGAGTCCCCCGAGAAACGAGTCAACCTTGCTTGCCATGAGGACCTGACGAATACCAGAGGGCGGAATCAACAGACTGTCAACAATCTGGATGAGTCCGCCTTGAAACTTGATATCGTAATTGATAACTGTAGCTCGATTGCCCAGCCGGGTGCTGAAGATGACATCGTCAGGCTGTTTGTTGATAAGGATGTTCTGACCAGCAGTGACATTGCTCCACTTAGGATTGAGAAGAAGGGTAGGCTTGACATATGCAGGCCCCTCCTTCAGCTTCATTGTGCTTATAGTACCCTGAAGAATGTGGTACTGAAGAAGCGGAACAGTGACCTTGGCATCGTTCGGGTCCCAAATATTGGAGAGAGGAGAATAGGGGATTTGGTTGAAAGCATCATTGGAAGGAGCAACAATCTAAGAAACATCAGAAATTAGTCGTTGCCCCCTGAGGCTAGGAGTCAGACTCAACTTACGGTGACACCCTCATAGCTGGGCAGTTGCAACAGGACATCGGGGAATTTCTGAAGGCGTTAGATAACAGTCTTTGGCTCACAACGTAACAAATTTCATACCTGGATCAATTTGTAGTATGTTGAAAGCTTGGGATGCCTTGACAAAACACTGCCCAGGTCCATGGGCAGAGCTTCAGTGGCATCATCAGCAACTGCCAGTGACACAAGACTGGCAATGCCAGCAAATACTCTAAACAGAAGCATTGCGTAGTTATCTTTTCTTTGAAAAATGAATGTGATGAAAACCGAAGAGGCAAGCTTGTAATGATAGGAAAGTAGCCTATACACTATCTGGTCTACAAACTCCAAGAAAGCGTTGACTTTGGTGAGCAACCTTGTAGTATCTGGCGCAGAAGTGAAAGATCAAAGAAAGTTCGGTGAATTGTTTCAGACAAATGAGTGAAATGTGAAATAGGGAGCGTGGTCAACACGGTAAATGAGCGAAGTCCATCCAGGAACGATGGGAAGAAATGCAGAAACCCGGAACCGAAAAACGGTCACTCGACAGGGCTTAATAGGTCTCTCAAGAGACGAGGCGCTGACATCCTCCTGTACGGATATCCCGCCAGTCATAGGAATTTTGGAAGCTAATTAGAGCCGAGTAACGCTTATGGTGAGGGGCGTAACTGGTAGCCTCATCAAGAGAGCTTCCAGAACTCGAACGCCTCACGAGTGACACCCAAAAACATCGCCAAGCCTCTGCCATTGCTATGCGGTACGAGTACGGCACTTGGGAGTCTGGGAGTGTTGTAGCATCCGCGGATCGGCGGGCATGCCGAAATTGACCCCTGGACCCTGCTAAGAACCCTGCATTGCAAGGATGTCGTTAGTGGCCCAGATCTCCGGATTGGGACTGACGACCACGAGCCACCATTTCATCCAATAACAGGAACCCTTGCTCACTCAAACATGATCAGATATCATCCAAAGTATAGCCATTGAAGATGTACTGAGGTCATTTCTTGGGCCGAGAAACATGGGTATTTTTTGGTCCGCACATCCCGAGTAGCCATCAACCAATGCACCTTGGCATTGCTGCGTCTTGTATTCCAAGAATTTCTTGGTCTTGGTGACACCATACGACCCTCGTAGGGCTTATTATAATGCTTCCTGACACTTTAAGGAAGAGAGGAAATCACCAGAAAGAGAAAGTTGTGTGGTCAGTGACGAGACACGCCGTAATATAGTAATGGGAGAAAGCGTCGGACGTTGGCCTCGTCTAAGTGTCTGAGCATCGTCGACCAGTCGGCGACTTAAATTTGGACCATATCGGTTTGTTAAAACCATATCAAATGTACACGTAAAGCGCCTCAAGAAGCCATTTGCCTCGACTTCGTTGGCTCTGGAAATGGCCTCAACCCCGTAGGACCCAGCCAAGGGCGACTTGTGGTTCAATTTGACCATGTCCAGTTCCGAACTCCTCTTAGTAAGGTGTGATGGCACTCGTGGCGCTATTCCCTGGTGAAGCTATCGGTCCCGAGTATGCGGTACGGATACTGCGAGTTTTCCGTTGAAAGATACAGACAATCCACCAGGTAAGCAATTGTCAT